AGGCCCAACTGGTGCAGACTGCAGGGGTGGCCTGGAGGCCAGAGTGGGGCAGCCAGGACAGCAGAGGTGGGTGGGAGCCAGTCTTGAGGTCCTCAGCAGGTCCTTGGCGAGAGCCACCAGCCCTCCACTCTGATCCATTACACTCCTTGCCAATCTGAGCCAGTCCCAAGAGTGGCCCTCCCTCCAGAGGGCCTCAGCCTGCTGTCGGAACTCAGCTGTGCCAAACCCATCACCGCTGATCAATATGCAATGGATTCGGTCTGCGGGCTGGTGCACGAAGCCGGCCCGGCCGCGGATCCTGCCACAGTCTGACAAGACAGATTGGTTTCTGGAAATCTTCTGGGAGGGGCGGGGAGAAAAGCAAGCCTCATTTTTTTTTCCTGCCTCATCTTTAAAAATGAAATTTCACATAAACCTAAGGGAAAGTGCTCAGCCTGGCTCACAGGAGAAAACCGTTCCCTTGGCGTGCATTCAAGACGGCAGTTCCCCTTGCCCCAGCACCAGCCGGGCTCAAGAGACAGGGGGCTCCCCGCCCCTGCAGGCACCTGTGAGGACACAGAGGGACAGGCAGCCACGACCCCCAGCTGGGAGCTCATGGCCACGTGCAGGAAGAGGAGGACACTCAGGGCCAGCGTGGACCTCGAACTACCTGGCCTGAGGCCTCCATCCCACAGACGGGGAAACTGAGCCCAGGAAGGCAAGAGGCGCATGGCCTGCTGGGCAGCGCCTACGGAGTTTAAGTTCACACCTGGTGGCTCCAGAGGCCCAAAAACCAGGCGGAAAGGGCTGTGGGGTGTGGGATGCCAGGGTCTGCACTGGACACTGCCAGGTGGAGGCCCGTTCTCTCCTGGGCCGCCTGCGCCCAGAGGGCATCTAGCACGACTGAGGCTTGAGGACAGGCACTCTCAGCCTTGCCCTTGGCACCGCTATCGCCACACTTCAACTGAGCTTCGGAGCGGCATGTAGGAGGACAGCAAAGGGGCCCAGATCCAGCCAGGGCCACCAGGGAGGCTTCCTGGAGGAGGAACCTTGTGCAACTATCCTTGAAGGAAGAGCCCAGGGACAGACAGGGCCAAGTGTGGCTGAGCCCTGTGAACAGCATGCACCCATGTCCAGAGGCCACAAGGCAGTGACAGACAGCCTAGAGCGCAAGGGCTGAGGAGCTGTCTGAAAGAGCCAGGTGACAGTGAGCAGGCCTAGGAGACAGCACAGAGCTCAGCCCTACCCTGGAGTCTGCCTGCAGCAGTGGGCACGTGCAGTGTGGTGTGTACACGTGCAGTGTGGTGCATATAGGTGTGCATGTGTATACACACAGTGTACTGTGCTTGTGCATGCTAGTGTGCATACTCACATGTATGAGTAGACTTGTGCACTGTAAGCATGCAAATGTGCACACACATGTACATACACTTAAATGCATATACCTATGCATACATTACATGTGCACCTGGGCACATATGTGGTACACTGCACATGAGGGGCACGTACAGACATGCATGCAGTGCTTTATGCACAGTGTGTGTTTGTGTTTGCATGCACATGAACGTGAACATGTACACACAGGACACAGGTACTCGAGGATACATGTAAGCAAGTGTGGACACACGTGCATATAAGAGGTGTGTGTGGGCATGCACACCTGTGCAAGCCAAGGTAGTTCACGACCAGCTCCCCTCTGCACATGCCAAGGCTGCTCATGAGGTATGGTGCACAGCACCCAGGGTGGCCCTGGCCCTGGCAAGGCAGCTGTGGCTGTGTGGCCCTGGAGGGACCAACCTGCTCTTCTGGGGTRGGATGAGCTCTGTCTCTGCAGTCCCAGCATCTCCAGCTCCATGCAGCTTTCCCCCTGGGAGGCACCTGCCCCCTCCTGACATGCTCCCACGCACATGTGCACAGACACACCCACCATGGCGGCAACCCCCACAKCATTCTCCCACCTCACTCAAGCCCAGCCTGGGCCTGGTCGCCAACCACTCACAGGACAGGCATCTTTCTGGGCACACGCCATTGGCTGGCTGCAGATATCTGGAGCAGTCTGACAAGCCAAATTTTCAACATCTGGACAAAGAGGCTTCTCTAGCTCCTTTGCAAACAGTACCCTCCTGGGGCCTCGGCACCAGGAAGGCCATGTACCATGCAGCCCCAGCACAGCCCAGGGCTCCCAAGAGGAGAGCTTGGTGCCTTCTGCCTCGCAGCCCTTGGATGGCCCCTCCTCTGCATTTTAGGAGACGTGGTCAGCAGCATCAGGCAACAGGAAGTCAGTGTCTCTGCCCAGGGCTGGGCCACTCACAGGCTGGGCACTCCAAGCGCCCTCGGCTGACCTGGCCTTGCGAGCTGCTGCCTGAGCAGTGTGAAGTCCTGCTGGCTTCAGGCCCAGGTCTTGCTCTGCTCCTTCTCCTGCRAATGCCTGTGCTGGCTGCCACCGCCTGCAAACATGAGGCTGCCCGTGGAGCCAGGGCCCAGATGGACCTCCCCACAGCCCCCTGTATCCTCTAAAACGCTTCTCAAGACAGGAGCCCTGATCCGGGGGTAGGGGGCAGCTGCCAGGAGAGGAGCCATCTCTCCAACACCTGCATCTGACCAATGCCACAGCCTTTGCCTGGATCCTCCTCTGGCTCCCCACACCTCCAGAGCAAAAGCCCCCTCCCCCAGGGAGCACAGCCTCTCTTCCTCATTCTTCAAATGCACATGGACAACCTTCCCACAGCCCGGGGAGGAGCCCCAGGGCCTCAGTGGTGCTCAGTGCATCCATCTCAGTGTGGGCACTGTCCACCCCAATAACAAGCACCACAAGGCCAGGCCTCCCTGCGCTCTGCACAAGATGACTGGCCCACAGAGCAGGGCTCGAGCGCCCCAGTGATGGAGAACACAGCGTGTGCGAGCTTCTACACAAATGCAAACCCAGGGGTCCTGATCATGGCATTTTTAACCCTCCAGGACCAAAAGAGCGTTTTAACAATGACATGGTTGTCCCCTCTCTGGACGGCACCTTTCACATGCCAGTCAGGGCTCTTTGCTGCTCCGGTGTATATAAATGCCCAGGACTGACACAGGAAGCTTGGTCCTCCACTTGAACCCTGCTGCTGGCAAGCCCACCACCCAGATCTGCCTGGCTACGGCTGGATACCTGCCAGAGGTATCCAGAGGCCAGAGGTCTATGGTGGCATCTGCTATGACAGCAGTGCCCCCTGATTAAGGCTGCCCAGCCTGAGTTCAGACCAGATGCTAAAGCTGGCCCCGTCAGGAGCTCAGAGACAGAGCCACTCCACAGTGGCACAGTTGTGGGCACTGCTGATGGGGGAGAAGACATGCCTCTTGGGCACAGGCCATGTCACAACCAGTTTCCCTGCCTCTCTCACATCTGAGGGCAAGGGAGAACCCCTGGCTAGGGCTCACGCATTTCTAGACTGTGTGGAGGGTCCTCCCTCCACCCTGCAGGGAGATGTAGGGCCTGGGAACTCCAGCTAGTCCTGGGCCCCCTCCTCCCTAGTCTGCCTCCCACAGCCCAGGGCTGCCTGAAGGCAGGGACCAGGACCCAACACTCAGCCCAGACCCCAGTGACAGTACCTTTGCATAATGGATGCCCAGAGACGGCTCTCCCTAGGGCCTGCTCCCACAAGACCACCCGTCATCAGGCAGCTGTCGGGTTTKTCAAAGGCGGTGATTCTGAACATTCCCCCAGCCTTTAAAAGCAGGGTCACGCAGCGTAAGAAGTAAACTTCGATAACTGCCAACATGGGCACAGAGCTTGGGAGCCTGCCCAGGGCTTCCACAGGCACCGCTGTTATGATTCATGCTTCAGTGGCTCTGGGAAGCGGGCAGGGGAGGGAACTGAGGCCGGTTGAGGAGGTGGCTCTGCAGGGGAGCACCGACCCCAAGCCTGACAGGCCAGTATGCACTAGGCGGTGCTGCATCGGCTGTCAGGCGCAAGAGGCTCGCTCTCCAATCAGGCCGTGGACCCCGAGCTAGCCAAGCTGCGCGCCGGCGTGCACACCGGCGCGCGCCAGAGCCTGAGCCGGGGGAGGTGAAGGAGCCGCCCGTCTTAGAAAGAGCAGGCTTCTAGAACTCACCGCCCAGGCCAGCCGGTGATCAGCCCAGTCCCGCAGGCTGCAGTCGGCCCTGGAGGGGGCGCCCTAGTCGAGAGCGCGCCCCGCGCCGCCGCCCCGGACTCCTCCCCGGCGCCKCGCGGGCAGGTTCGCCAAGGCGGCCGCGGGCTCGGGCGCCCGGCCCGCTCCCCCCGGGGCCGGTGGCGCGGGCCTGCCCGGCGCCCCGCCCCGCGCGCCCTCCCCGCTGCGCAACTCGACCCAAGTTGGAAACCGAGCCCGGCGGCTGCACTCGCGCCGAGCGCACGGCAGCGGCGGAGGCGGCGGCGGCGCAGCACTGGCAAGCAAGACAGGCGAGGCGGCGCCCGCACGGCCGAGCGCGGACCGCGGGGGGCGCCCGCGCCCGGGAGCAGCCGGAGGACTGGCGGCGGTGCCGGYGCCCAGCCTGGGAAAGTAAAGTTGGAGCAGGAGGCTGGGCGCGGAGGCCCGGAGGAGCCGCATCCCGCGTCCCGGCGCGCCAAGCGCTAGCTGGCTGGATGGGAGGCGGAGCGGTGGGGCCAACGCCGCCTGCAGCCTGCGCCCGGGCCGGGCGCCGGGACCGTGGAGCCGTTCAGGCGCGCCGGCTGGGACGCCGTGTCGCCGTGGGCTCGTGGCCGGGACGCTCCCAGTGAGCGGGGCCGAGGGCGGGGCCGCGTGAGGACCCCGGGACCTGCCCCCCTTCCCCCAACCGCCGCGTCTCCGCTCGCTTCGGGCGCCTCCAGCTCTGCACTTACGCACGCGGCAGCTGCAGGGAGCCCGGCAGCCACGCTCTCCGGCGCGCCGCCCGCCGGGCCACCACGGCCAAGGGCCGGCTACAGGGCGCCGCGGTTCCCGGCGGGCACGCCCGAGGAGCAGGCGGCGATGCGGGCGCCGACCCGGGCTGGGGGGCGCCCGAGCTGCCGCGGCTGCGCCCCGGCTCCTGGCAGGACCGCGTAGCTCGCGGGAGGACCATGGCTTCCCCGGCGCTGGCGGCTGCGCTGGCGGTGGCGGCGGCGGAGGGCCCCAACGCGAGCGGCGCYGGCGACGGGGGCAGCGGCGGGGGCGTCAACGCCTCAGGGGCTATCTGGGGGCCGCCGCCAGGCCAGTACTCGGCCGGCGCTGTGGCGGGGCTGGCGGCCGTGGTGGGCTTCCTCATCGTCTTCACCGTAGTGGGCAACGTGCTGGTGGTAATCGCCGTGCTGACCAGTCGGGCGCTGCGCGCGCCACAGAACCTCTTCCTGGTGTCGCTGGCCTCGGCCGACATCCTGGTGGCCACGCTGGTTATGCCCTTCTCGCTGGCCAATGAGCTCATGGCCTACTGGTACTTTGGGCAGGTGTGGTGCGGTGTGTACCTGGCACTCGACGTGCTCTTCTGCACCTCGTCCATCGTGCACCTGTGCGCCATCAGCCTGGACCGCTACTGGTCAGTGACGCAGGCCGTCGAGTACAACCTGAAGCGCACGCCTCGCCGTGTTAAGGCCACAATCGTGGCTGTGTGGCTCATCTCTGCCGTCATCTCCTTCCCACCGCTGGTCTCCTTCTACCGTCAGCCCGACGGCGCCGCCTACCCTCAGTGCGGCCTCAACGACGAGACCTGGTACATCCTGTCCTCCTGCATCGGCTCCTTCTTCGCGCCCTGCCTGATCATGGGCCTGGTCTATGCGCGCATTTACCGGGTAGCCAAGCTGCGCACGCGCACACTCAGCGAGAAGCGCGCTCCCGCGGGCCCCGACGGCGCATCTCCGACCACTGAGAACGGGCTGGGCACGGCGGCGGGCGAGAACGGGCACTGCGCACCCCCGCGCGCCGACGTGGAGCCAGATGAGAGCAGCGCCGCTGAGAGGCGGCGTCGCCGGGGCGCGCTGCGGCGGGGCGGACGGCGGCGCGCGGGCGCCGAGGGGGACGCGGATGTGCAGGGGCCCGGGACCGCGCCTGCTGACCAGGGCGCCCTGGCGGCAGCCCGGTCCCCGGGTCCTGGCGGGCGCTTGTCGCGCGCCAGCTCGCGCTCCGTCGAGTTCTTCCTGTCGCGCCGGCGACGGGCGCGCAGCAGCGTCTGCCGCCGCAAGGTGGCCCAGGCGCGGGAGAAGCGTTTCACCTTCGTGCTGGCCGTGGTCATGGGCGTGTTCGTGCTCTGCTGGTTCCCTTTCTTCTTCAGCTACAGTCTGTACGGCATCTGCCGCGAGGCCTGCCAGCTGCCTGACCCGCTCTTTAAGTTCTTCTTCTGGATCGGCTACTGCAACAGCTCGCTCAACCCGGTCATCTACACGGTCTTCAACCAGGACTTCCGGCGCTCCTTCAAGCACATCCTCTTCCGACGCAGGAGAAGGGGCTTCCGACAGTGACATGGGGCTGACGGGCCTGCCCTCCTGATCACTCCTGCGGGGTGTGGGGGCTTCTCCCCAGAGACCCAGGGATGGACTGGCTTCCAGGGCACAGGGGAGAGAGGGCGCAGCAGGGCGGAAGCTAGACAGAGAGACAGCTGGGCCTCCGGGGAGTGAGAGGGAGAAAGGGGAGACCCTTTGCCTTCCCATCTCAGCCAGGGGCTGCTTCTGGGGCTCCAGGCCGGATCCAGGTGCTGGAGCCTTGCCGAGGTCTGATGTGAGTGGACTTGTAGACTGCAGTGTTGGATGCAACCCCCTCCCCTCAAATGGGTGAGAAAGGAGCTTCCTCCCCAACACACCATCCAGTATTCCCGAAACAAGGGCTGACTTCCCCAGGACCTGGGGGAGGAGGAAGAGGGCACCAACAATCTTTGATTACTGAAAGTATTTAAATGTTTGCCCAAAGCAAACGTCCCAAACTACCAAACTATTTTCTAAATAAACCTTTGTAATCTAAGCCTCAGGTGCAGCCCTCGGTCGCTAAGCCCATGGGGTACCCTCCAGGCCCTGCAAACTGCCTAGCCCACCCCCAGGTTTGGAAGGGGGCTCTGGGGGTCTCCACATGTCAGCTTCCCCTCTTGCATGAGTAGGAGGGGGTCTTTTTCTTTTTTTTAACAACAACAACAACAAAAAAACCAAACTGCTTTATTTACAACAAAATGTATACTCAAAATCCTTGTGCTATAAGCAGTTAAGTAGCAAAGTTGACTTTAGATTTATGTCTCAGGGGACTGTCCTCTCTATATTTCCGTTCTTGCCCATTTCAGAAATCTGCCCCTGAGGGAAGAGAAAGGGGTCTCCAAGTCCAGGCTCTTCAGGCCTCTGGGGCTCTGGACACTTTCTGGGTTTGCCTCTTTGAAGCAGGTAGGTGGGGTGAGGCCTGCCCCAGGAAGCAGAGCCCCTTACATGGAGTGGCAGCCAAGGCAGGCCCTTAGACCTGCTGGGACCCTGAGGCCTTGGCTCGCTGGGCCTGGCCAGAATGAGATGGAACAAYCTGTTGTCATTTCTGAAACAAACGGAAGGTCATTGAGACCCAGAGCAACGAAGGTGGGAAATACCTGCAGTAGATGGGGAGGGAGCTGGAGCCTGCCCCAGTCCCCCAGGGCTTCCTCCCAGTGCTGCCCGCCCTCAGCCCTGTTCCGCTCTCAGGCCCTGGCAGAGCGGCTGGAAGAAGGGAGACCCTGGGCTACAGTGGCCTCCTGGGTGCTGGGCCCTCTGGAGCCAGGATCCCACAGGTTCTTCCAGCCCCTGGCAGCTCTTGGGGTGGACGGTGGCAGCAGGGCCTGGACAGGGATGAAGGGGACTCCCCCACAGCACGCTGCAGCTCTGTGGGCAGCAGGAGTCTCCTGCTGGGAACCCCTTCTGTGACCACCCAGGCCCCGCCTCCTCCTGGGGCCCCACGTTTCTCCACATGTGACCCCCACCCATCCCTGCTGCCCAGCCCAGCCCTCAACTCTCTCAATTCCCACACATCTGCTCTTGGCCTGGGGTGGCCCAGGGTCTGGCCTGGGGAAGGGTCAGCCCTCTACCCTGCCTTCACTCCTAAGCCCCTCTCCACTGAGTCTAGTCTGACCCATCGTGGCTGTCACTTGTAAAAGACCCTGAGCACTGCCTGTCCTCACCACCCTGCACTATAGAGCCTCAGGATACCCCAGCTGGCCAGTGCTACCCCACACTGTGTCCACGCAGAGAGTCCACCACTGAGTGCTGGGTTCAGACACGGGGCCAACAGATCATGAGTCCAGCGAGGAGACAAGCTGCCAGTGGGCTGCCGAGGGGGACCAGCACTTCTCTGACCGCCCCCCMCCCCAGCTGGCCCTGGACAGACAGACCCCAGTTCTTGTTGGGCTCCAACGTCTGCCTGTGAAGGAGGCGTTGCCGAAAGCTGCCTGGGCCCAGCTGGGCTGCAGGGCTGCAGTCACCCTGCCAGCAGACCAGGGGCTCTTGGGGGTGCCTCGCTGGGGGATGGCATGGTTGAGACCACTGAGAAGAGGGAGGTGCCCAGGGGCCACCCCTGTTCTTAGAGAAAAGACCCCAGGCCCAGGGCCGCAGAGTTTCCCTCCAGGTGCTGCATCTTATCAAGCTTGCAGGATGTACCCCAAGCTGCTGGCCAGCTGGGAAGGCAGGCACTTGCCCAGCACTCGGACACCCGTCCAATCCAGGATACCCTTTCCTTGAGAGGAAGGACATTTTCAGAGCTCATGATTTTTATTACTAGCACATTTCATGGGGCTCAGAGAGATGGATCAACCTGCTTGTTGTCACACAGCTGGTGCTGAGACCCAGACAGCCTTCAGGTGCAATCACAAAATCACGTGTTTATGGAACACGTTTCCACAGTCCCTTCTGCCCCTCAGGAGGTTGTGGGCAAGGGCCACTTTCCCCAGCTGAGAAGGGCACCCCAGAGGGCTCAGGCATGTCTTGGGAAACCGAGGTCATCCTCGTKTGGGGTGGAGCCTCTGTGCCAATGCAACATGCCAGGCTGTAGAGGGTCCCTGCCTACTGTGGCCAGGGCTGCCAGGGTCCTGGCTGGGGGTGGGCATAGTCAGTGCTTTAGGATTTCACTGGAACCCTGAGGTTTCAGGGAACATGCATTCACCCTGAGCCAGCACCTGCTGTCACTCAGAGCTGTGTGGCTACAAGCAGGTCACCTGTGAGCTGGAGGGCCCCTTGGTGAGGGTTAGTGACTGCCCCAGCTGGGGCTCCTGGGGGTTAACTGTGCAGCAGAGTGCCGGGCCCACCCCCCTCCTTTCCTAATCCCAGTCCCTGGGCCTCCTGCCTGCTGAGCTGTGCTGGCTGGGCAGGGGAGCCTGGTTCTCAGCCGCCTGCTGCAGGGATGGGGCAGGTCCTCACCAGTCCCAGTGTCCTTGTGGATGAAGTGGGAGGGTGGACCTCTGTCCCACAGCTCCCCTGCTCACCAGGGAGGTGACTCTAGTTACAGAGGAGGGGCCCAGCTCCTGTTCCTGTCCCCTGTCCCCTGTCAGGCCAGCAGGTCTGTCCATGCCCATGATGGTCGTCCTCCTTATGGAGCAGGCCCAGCCCACCTCCCTCATCACGTCTTCTGTGCAATCGAGTGTTGGCCCCTGGGAGGGTTGAGGAGGAGGCCCGGAGGCGACTGTGAGGCCTGGGGCCCTTTGGTGGGGGTGGGGTCTGCACCAACCATGAACCCTGGAGACCCCAGCCTCAGGAAGCCCAGCTCCACAGGGTTCCCTCAGCTCCTAGGAGAGCTCAGGAAAAAGGAAATTCGAGCCAGGCACAGGGGCCATGTCTGTGATCCCTGTGACTCAGGAGGCTGAAGCAGGAGGATTGTGAGTTCAAGGCCAGCCTCAGCAATTTAGCAAGGCCCTGAGCAGTTTAGCAAGACCCTGTCTCAACATAAAAATAGGCTGGGGATGCGGGCCAGTGGTTAAGGGCCCCTGGGTTCAATCTCTGATACCAAAATGAAATGGACTACAATACCCAGAAGAAACGGGGCCACGGGCATGTGGGGGGCTCACGGGTGGGGGGGCTGGACTTCCCAGGCCTCCCCTGGCCCAGCCTGAGCACACACAGACCTTGACCCCGTGCCCCTGGCTGGGTTGGGGCAGGGGATAATCCTGCTCAGCCTGGAGCTCAGCATGGAATTCCAAAGGCTCTTCAGGCAGAACTGCCAAAGCTCCCAGAAGCAGCTCCAGGCTCCTCCTGCCCCCGCTGGGGGTGGGCCCGCGGTGAAGCACGTTGCCAGGCACTTGCAGGGGCCGCCCTTGGTGCTGCACCGAGCCAGCGGTGRCTTATGTCACGTCCCTCACAGGACTCCGGTGGTCCAGCGCAGCAGCGTCAGAACACAGGGCGCCCGCAGGCCGGCCCGGCTGGTTCCGCAGCCACTGCCCCTTGTCCAGCCAAGCCCCCACCTCCATGGGCCCACGGCCACCCCCCAGGTGCAAGGGTCGGGAGGCCACGTCCCCAGGTCCTGTGTCATGTATCCCAGGCATCCATTCATGCCTCAGCCATGTGCCCGCCACAGCTGGGCATGAACGGGCCCTACTTCCCAGGGGCTCTGAGGGGGCAGCCTGTGGGTGTGGACGGGACTCCTGTGGACAGGAGGGTCTTTGGAACTAAGGAGCAGGAGAGGAGGCAGGGACCCAAGTTTCCAAGGACCAGGAAGGGACCTCTCACCCAAGGATCCCCCCCTCCGCCTGAGCCTGCTGTAGCGCCAGGGCCCAGCAGTCAGCACCTCCTGACCAGCAGGGCTGCTGCGGGGGGGGGGGAGGGGGGGCCCAAGTGTCCCCCTCTCCTGGGAGACAGAGGGTTCTCTGGTCCATTCCCTGTGTGAGTCAGGCTAGTCCCCCAGCTCCCACCGAGTATAACTGGTCTGCACCACCCTCCCTGCCTGGCAGGGGGCAGGGTGGAAGGATCAGGGCCCCTCGGTGGGGCACAGCACTGTCCTCTGAAGTCGGCCTGGGTAGCAGAGTCTGCCGTAGACTTTGGGCCAACAGAAAGCCCTGGGGACCAAAAATATATTTCTTGCCTGCCAAGAGGATTTGTGGCTGCTCCCAGCGGGTACAATAGAATCATTATGGTCAAGATAAGAAATCAGGCCATGCAGGGTGGAGTGGGAGGACTGGCACAGAGACTGGCTGAAGGGGTCCTGCCCTTAGGTCCGAACAAAAACATGCCCAGAGCTACCTGGCAGCCATGGAGAAAAAGGAAACAGGATATGCACACCCTTCTCTTGACTTGATGCAAGATTGACAGAAAAAGCTGGAACCCAGGAGGTCTGCAGCTGGGCCCACCTGGAGGACTGCTGATCCTAAAGGGCTCCTCAACTCTGCCCCCAGGAGAGCCCCAGAGGGCCATTCATGCCACAGCAAAGCCCAGACCCCAGGTCCAGCCCCATGAGCAGCCCATGTATTATTCCAACCACAGCCTGCAAGCCTCTGGGTCAGGGGGATGGCGGCAGGAGAGGGGCCCAGCCCAGGGTCAGGGGCTGCAGCCATGCAGCTCTGCCGCCTCAGACTCTGCCACTGGATACCAGAGTGAGCAGTGGGTCTCAGAGCCTCCCTGGCACGAGGCCCCTGCAGACCTTCCCTGAAGGTCCCCTGGCCCACGTCTCTCACAGCTCCAAACATACTGAGGAGGCCTCACTCCCGTTCTGCCCCCTTCCCCTCTCCTTCTGACTCCGCCCCACCCCCAGGCTCGGGAAGCAGCGCTCTGCCTGGGCTCGGGTAACTGCCCACCTGTCT